GACCCCGAGCCGTCCGCGGCCGGGAGACCCCTGCCCCCCTCTGCCTCGCCCGCGGGGCTGTGGAATTGGTGCGAGTCCCTCGCTGGCCTCCGCGGCCCGGTCTGTCTTCACTCGTGGCGCGACGCAGCTAATGGCCCTTCAGCCGCGCGCTGTCCCACGCGGCTAGGCGGACATGCTGGGGTTTCGGCGTCTCCCAGACCCTTCACGGCCTGAGACCGTGGCTCAAGAAAGGCCGGGCGTGGATGGCCTTGGAGAGGGTGGCCTTTCTCTCTATTTTCCCTAACCGCCCCCCAAGGTTCCCCTGTGATAGTAAGAAAGCCGGTCAATCGGTTAAACGCGGGGGCCTCGTCGAGCCAAGGGGTAGCCAGCCTGGCCTGGGGGAGCGGGCAGTTTTGGGCCAATTCCAGCACCAGTGGGACCATAAAATATTTGGGAGCTGTGCTGTTCCTTCATATAAAAGAAGAAAACGAGAACTGCCTTCACCAAGATTCCCTTTATTCTTCACACCTTGCTAGCCGATAGTTGCCTTCAACTTCAGGGAAGGGCTGCCTGTGCATGGGAAAAACTCTGCCTAGGAATTAGCGGGCCAGAGTTCCAGCCATGGCGCCACCACTGATTAACTGGTGACTCTTGAAATCTCTTTAGGCTGAATTTACGATTATTGCTGATTTCAGCGTTGAATTGGGAAATTTTTAGGGCCCTTTTAAGCTTATTGAATAAATTTCTCAAAACCCGTTTCCCTTAAGTATAAAATCAGAGCCTTAATTTGATGACTTTCAGGTCCCTTCAGAAGCTCTCGACTTTTTGAGTACTTAGGCTATCACATAACGAAGAGTTTAAAATGGACTGTTTGTATTTTAAGACAGCCTTATGCTTTGGGGTCAGTTTGGTATTGCTGTCTAGCGAATCTGAGGGTCGGGAATGAGTTGAATTGGAAGTAGGGGTGGTATGACAGGTAAGAGCCTGCATGGCAAAAGGAGAAGGGCCCAGAGAAAGGTGAAAAAAGGGTTTCCAGATAGGGTTAGAGCACGACTAAGAACAACTGGGATTTACAGCAGTAAATTTAGCATCATTTTCTTCCATCAAGACATGTTCTTTTTTTGTGACCATCGTTTTTGCACATTTGGATTCTATACCTAGTCATTGATTCAGAGTGGCAGTCACATTTGGAAAATAGAAGTTTTAATTCCAACTTAACAGTGTTTAAACAATCATTGTCAGGGTAACACAGAGTATGTTAATTTCCAGTGAAAACTGGATTTAAAATGAATTTGTGGTGTTGGGGATGCAACTCATTGGTAGAGTGCTTGCTTATAGCATGCCCAAGCCCATGGGTTTATTCCTAGCACATTAAAAAAAATTGAGCTGTGGATTATTATATTCAACTCTGCCATCAATGGATGCCTGTGCCATCAAGAAGGAACATCTAAGGCAGAATGCTTTGAAAGGAAATAAGAGCAAAATGCCCAGATTGACCAGTAGGTAGATTGTTGAGAGCAGAAGTATAAGTAAATTTTGGAAGCTTCAATAAGCCTTAAGTTGTTTAGTTTAAAAAAAGATGAATGAATGCCTACTGCTCCCTCTTTTGATGGTGAGAGCCTGTGCAGTTATTCTCTATAGCTGTTTTATAGTTATTAAACCATTTTTTTTTTTTTTTAGATAAGTTTCATCCCCACTTCCATGGTATTTTAGATTCTTACATAGGAACCATTTTCTTTAGCCGTAGGATTGATAAAGTGAGTGCCAACCTGAGAGGTTCTTGAATGGTAAACTGACAAATGTAAAGATGTGCTTTTCCTTCTAATTAAAAATACCTCCTTCATAGTTTTTATTCTCCAGTGGGAAGTGAAATGGTGTTTGTGAGGCAAACTTTAGGTGTTAGAGCCAATGCACATACACCAACCTTTATTTGAAATTATTTATTTTGAATTTTTTAAAATCTTAGTGAATCCTTGGCTGAGTTTGGAAAAGGTGAATCAATTGTAGCTGTGTCTTTTTTTTTTTTTTTTTTTTGGTATGGGGTTGAACTCAGGGCCACATACTTGTTAGACAGGCATTCTGGCTAGAGCCACACCTCCAGCACCCTAACCTTGGATAGGCCTTGTTATCTCTTTGAACCTCAGTGTCCTTATATGTGTGAAATAATCCAGCAGGTCCCTCTCCATTAAAGTTTGTTACTGTCAAAAGATCTTATATCACCTAGTGAAGGAATCAAAAAGCTGAAAAAGCCTTCTGAGTCAAGGGATGTGTCTGTATATACATATAGACAGGTATTTGTTTGTATATAATATTCATCTTCTAGTATACATTTGAAAAATAAATGCATATGAATGTTATTAAGGTAGTAATATAAACCAAAAACAACTTGATGCAACACGCATAAGCTACAAAAATAGAAGAAAGCATGTTATGCTAGAACACAATTTTCAAGTTACAGAAGTACAAAATCCTCTTAAAGGCCATAGGGGCTAAATTGTTAAATTCATTTTTCTACATTTCAGAGGAAGAGATAAATCCTTAGACCCAAGGAAGTCAGTTTTTGTTATGGTTGTGCAGTTTATTTTTGGCATACATTCACAGGTGTGCCTATGGCTCTATTCTTAATCCCTTTCCTTTGGGATGGCTCCAAGAGTAGTACAAATTTGTAACTCTGTAATTTAGCTCTTTAATTTTTTTTCCGTGCTGCACTGGAATTAGGCTTTATCTTAAGTCCACACTGGATCCTCAGGATGGATCCAGTGCGGATTTTGAAGGAAACATAATTCCTTTGACTTCTTTTAGAATTAATTTACCTATTAAATAAAAAGGAAAGGATTCATCTGTTATTTGAATTCCTCTGCGGCTAACATTTCAATATAAACTGATAAATACTATGAGCATTATTATTCAGACAGCCACGTTGAACTTGTATGATAATAACAGCATAGCAACCTAAAAAGACAGTGCAATGGGGAGCAAGTATATTGTGCCATTTAGAAGAAAAAAGGCATTAAAAGCTGGTTTCTTTATTTCTGGAAAACAAAAAACTTCAGCTTGAGTTTAGTGCATTTTGGGCTCTTATTTACATGATTCTCGGGGTTAACTGGTTCTTTTACTAAAACTACCGTTACAACACCTTGACATTTTAAGGCCTGAGAATTGGGAAACTAAGAAAACGATTATTCTTTCTTAATTGTACCTGTATAACTAAAAGTGGAAGAAAAAAAAGTTGGCATTTTTACTGTTTTCTAGGGTGTTCCTGATTTTTGAACAAATATGACTTAATTTTTCCAGTGCTCTCCTTTTGATCAGCATTCCATTGATACCTAATTGAAACATCTACTGTGTAGATTTTTGGTTGGTGGTAGAATTTAATGCCTTTGAATAGTTGGAGACAACTGAAAAATTATCCATCCTAATTTCTATGTACTAGGCATGTGTTAGACTTATTGAGGCTGAAGAACAAATGCCTGATGATGCAATCAATTTGTTTACCTTATTGAGCAGAAGAACAGTACCTATGATATAGTTCGTTTAGTCAACAAACAGTTGTGGAAATTGCTCTAAATACCAGTTACTCTGTTTGGATTTGATGATCCGTTGTTTAACATGATACATATGGTACATTTTCTGTTAGAGTTTGTGATCTGTGCTTCTGGGGTATTTACACTGAATAAGTAATTAGAAATGTGATGAGTGTTTTTGAAACACATAGTGCTATGGAAGCCTATAAAAGGGGCACTTAGTTTAGTCTGATGGGAAGTGATGTTAAAGCTGAGTTGAAGGATGCACAGGATTTAATATGCACACAGGAGAGTAAAGTGTTCCTGTTTATGCATTTATTGCCAGATCTGGGAGTTTTGCCTCAATTTTAGTAAGTTTGTATTTCATACAAAATTTTTATGACTAACACCCAATAAGTTTTATCAAATTTTATTGTACTTTATTATTTTTTTGGCAGTATTGGGGATTGCATCTGCTAGACAGGTGTTCTACCACTTGAGTCATGCCACCAACCCTGTTTTGCTTTAGTTATTTTTGAGATAGGATCTTGCTATATGCCCATGTCAGCCTGGATCTAGATCCTCGTTTTTATGCTTCCCATGTAGCTGGTGTTACCACCAGGCCCAGCCATTGGTTGAGATGGACTTTTTGCCTGGGCTGGCCTCAAACTGTGATTCTCCTGATCTCTGCCTTCCAAGTAGCTAGGATTACAGGCTGGAGCTACTGCATCTGGCTTATCAATTTTTCTTTTTTGGGGGGCTGGGACAGGAGTTGGAACTCAGGGCTTCATGTTTGCAAAGTAGGTGCTGCTTGAACCACAACTTCAGTGTTCAAATATTTTTAATTTATTCTTTGAGCCAAAAATCAGAGGCCATGAGATTTTATTATTACTATTATTGTGGTGCTGGGAATCAAACCCATGACCTCTTACATGCTAAGCTTGCATCCTACCTCTGGGGCTACACCTCATTCCTTGAGATTAATTTTTAAATTGAGAATAAATATCTGTACTCAAGTAGTAAATACAATAATGGTTTCCTGTTATGGCTTTGAGTCATAGTTGAAATAATATTCTTGCATAAGACTGTATACCTAAAAAAAAAGGAGATACAGAACCAGAACTAAGAGATGAAGAATGAATGGAATAGTGAGATACTTAAAATCTTTTTGCCATTTTTAACATTTTGAAGAACAAGTGTTCTGTGTCAGGTAATGGGTCTTGATCTGTTGTCCTTTTCCATTATTTTTTTGAAATACCGTGTTTCCATTAATAGCTATAACTTAATTTATTGGTAGTAATTTTCATTTGAGAGGTGTGGGCATTATTATAGTGGGTCATAACAGGTTTTAGAAATCCACAGGAAAAAGGTATTCTTAAGAGAAAAAAGTATTTTAACATGTTAGTATTTTAACTAACATATTTTAACCATTTTAATATGGCCTTCACGTAGAAGTTGACTCTGTGGGGTGATATTATTCACTAACCAGACAAGATCTCAGCTTTTAAAATACCTTCTTTGTGTGACTTTCTCTTTTTACAGCATTAACATAACCAACTTTCCATAATGTTTGGTGGCTATGAGACTATAGAAGCATATGAAGATGACCTTTATCGAGAAGAGTCATCTAGTGAACTAAGTGTTGATAGTGAGGTAGAATTTCAGCTCTACAGCCAAGTTCATTATGCCCAGGATCTTGATAATGCCAACAGAGAGGAAGGACATGAAGAAGAGAACTCTGGGAATTCTGAATCATTCAGTAGTAAACCAAATCAGAAGAACTTAATTGTCCTTTCAGATAATGAGGTCATCCAGCTATCAGATGGGTCAGAGGTCATCACTTTGTCTGACGAAGATAATATTTACAGATGTAAAAGAAAGAATATTAGAGTCCAAGCACAAGAAAAGACCCAAGGTCCTTCTGCTTCTCATTCTAATGAATTGGTTGATAAGAAATGCAAAAAGGATTCTGAGAAACCTAAACCTGAAGAGAGATCAGGTGTGATCCGAGAGGTAATGATTATAGAGGTCAGTTCAAGTGAAGAGGAGGAGAGTGCCATTTCAGAAAGTGAAAATGTTGAAAGCTGGATGCTCCTGGGATGTGAAGTAGATGATAAAGATGATGATATCCTTCTCAACCTTGTGGGATGTGAAAACTCTGTTACTGAAGGTTAGTATCATATTGGCTATTTTGAAAAGTAATATTAACTTTAATAAGGAAGACTGCTTTTCCTAGACAAAAGACCAGTAGGGTCTGTTCCATTTAATTCCTTCCTTTTTGATCTTTTTTCTCATGAGAATTTTAGCAGAGGCTATTTTAATTTTGGTCTGTTTGAATATTAGAGTATGTCAGAATCCTCAAAGAGTATTTCAAAGACACCTAGCTTCTGCTCTAAGCATATTCATAGCTGCTTCCTGTTTGGCTAGAGTCAGTTCTCGACCTGAAATCTTACTTGTCTTTCTGCTTGGTACCACAGGTGAGTACTCCATTTTGAGGATTAAAGTTTTGTTGTTAGCTTTGTTCTCGGTGTCATATGTAGTCAGTTAGTATTAGTACTTGGCCCTTTAAAAAATCTTTTCCCTTCATTTCTCTTCCTTTATGCCTAATACCGAGTGTCTTGCAGTTGTTTCCTAAATGTTCTTTTTTTTTTTTGTATTTGTCCTATATACTAGTAGTCTTGAGATGCCCCTTTATTCAAGGTACTTTACTGCTGCTCAGAAACCTTTAGTAGTACCCTGTTGCCCTCTGAAGAAATGGTGGCATTAAATATAAATCATGCTCTATCCTAGGGACTGGAAAAGTGTTTTTAAGGAATCAGATAGGAAATAGGCCTAGGTTTCTAGGCTATAGGATCTCTTAATTATTCAACTTTGCCTTTCTGGGAAAGCAGCCTTACATAATACCTAAAAAAAAAATGGGACTAGCTCCTCTAATATGATCTTAATTAAAAGAACAGGAGGCTGGCACAGCATTTTACAGCAAAAAGAAGAGCAGAGTAACTACAACGTACAGCAGAATCAAATGAAGTTTTGTCCAAATAATAAGGGAGATCTGATAATGTTTTTAGGCAGAAGGGGAGGAGCTTTTGAAGCAAGACTGAACTTGATGAATCAGGGTAGGGCAGTCAGGTAAGAGATGGGATTGGGTGTGTGTGTTGTTAAATTAGTCTTAAAATGTAACTACCAATTCACTCAATGATTAAAGAATCAGAGAGGAAAGAATTCAGATTGATTGAGGTAGATGAGGGAACAGTATAAGGATGTGTTTGATTTTCTTGGGAATATGAAAACAGAAGTGGGAATGGACAGAGGGTAATTGGAAGCTTACAGTATGGAAGGAATGTTTAAGTGGTATGGGGAATACTTAGGTAGTGGTTCTTAATATTTTAAGGATACAACCTCTTTAAAACAATTTGTGGATCTCCTCACATCACTATAGTTATATTTTTAGTATTTGGTAATGGAGAAAATGCCCAGTAGCAGAAAGCTACTAGTACTGTGTGACTTTGTATTTTTTTAAATCATAACATTGACTGTACATTTGGGAAATGCTAATACATATTTGTGGGAGATGGTCTTTATATAATTCATGTCTCTGGATACCTACTGTGGTAACTAATTGTATTCCAGGAATCTGAGGCTCATAGTTTAGAAATTATTAAGCTAATCAGTTAATAATGAGAGAATGAAAGGATTGTTTCGACGTTAAAATTAAAACTAATATGAGCTATAATGAACTCACTTTGAAGGATCTGTAATGTTTTGGTAGTACTTAGTAGTCTCAAACAAAGTTACAGAAACCAAATGATCTGTAATATTATAGAATGTCAGAATAAGCATTTAGACTATTTTTTTCTATAAATTGTCTTTCCCTGAGATCCTAGCTAGTTTCATTAATCACTTCTGTATTCATGATAATCAAACTGGCATGTCCCTACTATTTTCTTGAATTCAAGTTTCCTGTGTGTACCTTGCTTAGTATTTACTGTTGTTTCAGACTTAAAAGTAGTGAAAAGATTGTATTTTCCCTTTGAAACCAGCTCTCTGCAGGTCTAAGAATCTGTAGAGTTGGTGAAGTTGATGGCAGAGCATGGGTAGATTAGAGGAACTTGGAAGAGAGTTATTCTTGTGGTAAATAATGCTATGAATGATATGGAGAAGTTGGGGGGGAGCGGGGGGAGCCAGTTGGCAAAAAGGTCTCCATGAGAGAATTGCTTGCTACATGGCATTGTTGGTAAAAGACAGGTTTAATTAAAAAGAGGAGGCATGTGGAAGTGGTTCATTTATTAAAATTGGGTCTTGCACCATGGAAAGAAAGGCAGTTTTAAATGAGGTAAATGTATAGTTTAGGAACCCTAAAAAAATAATTAAAATACAGATCGGCATGAAAACATGGGATGACATTTCCAACTGGAGAGTTGGAAAAGACTTGTTGGAGGTCAGAACATAAGAGTTGGGTTTTGAAGAAAGGATTAGGAATGAGGTTGGAAGTGGATGGTGTTAGTTGAAGAGAACAGCATGTGCAAAAACATAACAGAAGGAAAACATTGAGTTTAGGGATGTGCAGGTAGTTTAGTCTGATTAGTAGTTGGGAAAGTGAGGGATTATAAATAAGATGGGGCCAGTAGTGCTTTTTGTGTTCATCTTATGAACTCTTGAAAGTCTTGGCACCATTGAAGGATCTTAAGCAGGTGAATAGCATGTTTATACTTTTATTCTAGGAAGAATTCTAGTGACTGTGGAGGTTGAATTGTAGAGTTAGCAATTTTCAAAATCAGGTGAGTAGATAGGTTTTTTTTTTTTTTTTTTAAAGCTTAGGGCCTTGAGCATTTCTGGCCAAACCTTCAGCCTTGGATAGGCTTTCTTTTGTAATAATCTGGGCTAAAAATGTTGAGAAGAGAATTAAAGTATGTAATAGTAGTAGTGGGGATAGTAGAGGAGAAATGAATTTGTGAGTGTTAACTTGGTATTGGATGAGGCAGATAGAGAATGGAAGGAGTTAATGATGACTTCAAAGTCAAACACCTGGGGAACACAGGAGTAAGTAAATTGGGAGCTAACTCATGATAGAATAGGAGTTTCTCAGAGCAAAATGAAGGCTGGATAGGAGGTGAATGAGGATGGAATAAGTGGGAGCTGAGTCATATGGAAATGAGAATTGTGGAGGAAAGTGATAGATTTAGCAAGTTGTGTCTTACAGGATTAAAGAGGTTAATAATTAGGTAAAACTAATGTTTCATATTATAAACGTGGTAAGAAGCAAGTCTGTTTTTAAACTGCATTCTTTTAGAGATATTTGTATCTGTCTGTCCATCTGTGGTGGTTCTGGGGTTTGAACTCTGCTTTGTGCTTGCAAAGCAGGTACTATACTACTTGAACAATATCTCTAGTCCATTTTGCTGTTTTCCATCTTTTGGAGATGGAGGTCTCTCAAGGCTCTTGCCTCTATCCTCTGTTCTCCTTATGTCAACCTTCCAAGTAGCTAGGATTGCACGTGTGAGCAACTGGTACTTGGCTCAAAATTGTAGTATATTGAAACCAGTGATATAAGAGAAAAAAATTAGTCTTCTTGATGCCAGTTCTTTTTCCACACTCTTAAGCCTTATATTTAGTGTTTCCTTGACCTGTATTAGCTTGTTTCCCATTAATTGCTAAATCATCAAACTTTTTTGTGTTTTGAGGTGCGTAGATATGAACTCAGGGCCTATACTTTGAGCCACTCTACCAGCCCTTTTTTGTGATGTTTTTTTTCCAGCTAGGGTCTCATGAACTATTTGCCCGGGGGTAGCTTTGAACCTGGATCCTCCTGATTTTTGCTTCCTCAGTAGCTAGGATTATCGGGGTGAGCCACCAATGTGCCAGCATCGTCTAATGTTTATTGAACATCTGCTCTATGTAGACTATAAGTAGTACTGGGGATTTAAGGTGGTAAAAGACAGTTTTAGTTTAAGTGATTTTGTGATTCATTGAAGAGACAAAATGTAGTTAGGAAGCTAAATAGTTTTGCAGGAGTCTCAACTAGAGGAGTTAAGTTTCTCAAAATCTTGATTATAGATGTGGTTGAAAATTTACACTTTAAACAAGTAGCATTAGTGAATTTGAGATAGTATATAAACCTTTCAAAGACTATACAAATGCTTACATATTTTGTATTTGCTCTTACTAAATTTGTAATAATGAGTATAGCACTACCTTTTGCTCTGTGAAAACCTTAGTTTCTCCCCAGTACTTCAATTTCAGTGAGATGCCTACACATTTGTTTTGCTTTACTGGCAGATAATACACAATTAGGAGGCATGTTTTTCCTTACTGTTCTACCTGTAAACGTTTGATACTTTTCTCATATGATTTAAAGTTGTTGATTAGCCTCCTGAGGTTCCGTTGAAACCATAGGTATGTAACACTCACTTGACTGCATCGTCTTTCTCAGTCATATTGGTGGCTCTGCTTGTAAGAAGTTCATGCTAAAACAAGCCATCGTACCCATGTACTTATGGCACTCAGTGTTCTTTACTGACAGATACATGAGTTTATTTCCAAGGTCTGGGCTTCATTTCCTTTCCTTCTTTACTGTTTTCTAAGGCTCTCTCCCCTTTCCCACTCCATGTTAGGGGAACCCAGGGCCTTGTACATGCTAAGGATGTGCTCCTCAGTCTTCTTTATAAGTACTTGATCTGTCATTTGTTTTTCTTTTTAAAGTTCTAGCCTTTTATTATCCTCAGTAGAAGTGATTTGCTATTCTTGTATGCAGTAGTCCTTCTTATCTTCAGGAAATACATTCTAAGACCCTCAGTGGATGCCTGAAATGGGATAGTACTAAGCCTTATATACTGTTTTTTTCCCCTATACATATGTTAAGTTTAATACATAAACTAGGCACAGTAAGAGATTAATAATAACTAATAATAAAATATAGTACTTATAATAATGCACTCTATAATGCCTTATTTCCACAAATTTAATATCTTTTCTAATCTTAACCAAGCACTTAATTCACAGTGTGACTATAAATTTTTCAGTTTGAAATGTGACAGCAAAACTTGTGTGGATTTTTTTTTTCTTCACTGTTTCCCAGAAGATTTGTTTTTACTGTAGATCTTAGTAACCTTAGCATATGATTTTTTTTCTTTTTTCTTCCATTAGGTCAAGAACTTTTACACATTTGTTTAA